CTTTGGTAATATCAGTGTCCCTGATCCATCTAGTAACTTTTTAGCATTGAAATGTGTTCATTATATTCCCAACCTTCCTTTGAATTTAATGTACGTTGGCTAGTTAGTTGATTACAAGTGCCTTGTTTCTTTTTCTAATAAAGGTTGTTTGGTGCAGGATCTTGCAACAGGGAAAGTGATTAGGAGATGCACTAAGCAGGGTCGGCTTTTCCCAGTTAGTTTCAATGAAACTCCTTTCTATCTTTCACAAGCTCTGCTAGTTTGTCACCTTTCTCCTTCTCCTCATGAAATAAGTCAATCAAATTCTCTTTAGTATATTTGGCATTGTAGGTTAGGATACCCACATTCTCAAAAAATATTTTCTCTTTTAAACTCTAGGCTTTACCTACTGTATTCTCTCATAGAAAATTTGATAAGAATATTGTTTGTGAGAGTTGCAAGTTGGCAAAACATTTGGCTCAACCTTTTCCTCATATCAATAATACAAGTATCCATCATTTCTCTTTAGTGCACTCTGATGTTTGGGGCCTTGCTCATGTTCATGCAATTAATAGATTTTTTTATTATATGATATTTATAGATCATTTTTTTAAATATACTTGGATTTATTTTCTCAAACACAAGTCAACTGTGTTTAGTGTTTTTAAAAACTTCCATAATATGATAAAAAATCAATTTGAGAAAAACATTAAAGTTTTTAGGTTTGATTTTGGGGGCGGGGGGGGAGGGAGTATTTATTTTATGAATTTCAACCATATCTTTGTACAGATGGTATTATTCATCATCGTTCATGTCCTCATACCTTGAAACATAATGGAGTTATTGAAACAAAATATCGTTATATTCTTGAAACCACTCGTTCTCTTCTTATTAGCTATCATTTCCCAAAGAATATTTGGGCTGAAGCGATGTCTACTGCTGTCTATCTTGTTAATCTTTTTTCTACACCGATTTTGCAAAATGTGTCACCATTTCAAAAGCTTTTTAACAAACTCCCTGAATATTCACATTTACGTGTGATTGGGTGCACATGCTTTGTACTTTTACCATATTCTACCCATGATAAATTTTTACCTAAGTCTGTCAAATGCATGTTTGTAGGTTATCCAACAAATCAAAAAGGATATCGTTGATTTGATCATTCTATTAATCGTATTAGAATATTCCGACGTGTTATATTTTTCAAGCATCGACCCTTCCATCAACACTATCCACACCCTAATTCAGCCACACATGGACCTGAGTTTTCATTTTTTCCTAGTTTCGATATACTTCCTTCTCAATATCATGAAATCAGGGATTACCACATCCAGTAACTAAGTCTTTGTCAAGTGCTGATCATGCATCACCTTCAATTGTTGATCCTTCTATCGGTCATGTTCAACTTCGACGGTTACTCCGAAAGCCCATTCCACCTAATCGTCTTAACTTACCAGTGGTTAGCCCATACCATACTTGTTTTGCTGTAACCATTACTAATCCATTATTTCATGAGTCATCTTCTTATTCTCAGGTATCTAACTTCCAATGTTGGAGTATAGTTATGAATAAGAAAATTACAGCTTTAGAGGCAAATCATACTTGGGATTTGGTCTCATTGCCCCCCGAAAAACATGTTATTGGTTGTAAATGGATTTATAAAGTCAAGTTACGAGTCCGCTTAGTTGCTCAGGGTTCTACCCAGGAGCATGACATCAATTATGAAGAAGCTTTTGCTCCAGCTGCTAAAATGACAACTATTCGTACTTTTATTGCACTCGCATCTATTAAAAAATGCATTACTTAATGACAAACTTCAAGAGGAAGTTTATATGTGTCAACCACCTGGGTTTGTTAATCAAGATAAGTCATTGGTTTGTCGACTTCGTAAAGCAATTTACAACCTTAAACAAGCTTCCCGTGCATGGTTTGAGCTTTTTCGGGCTGTCATTCTTGTAATTGGCTTCACTCAAAGTTAACATGATCACTCAATGTTTATTCGTACCACAAAGCATGTAATTTGCATTGTTTTATTATATGTTGATAATATTCTTAGATCTGGCAATGATTTCACTTCCATAAGGATGTAAAGCTACGATTGCAAGAAGAATTTCAAATGAAGGATCTTGAGGAAATATCTTATTGTTTTGGCCTCGAGATCTCTCGATCTAAACGTGATATTTACATCCACCAACAGAAGTATGCACTTGATCTTATTTTCAGTGCCCGAGTGAATGATGCAAAGGTTGTTGATACGCTCATGGAACTCAATGTTAAACTTTGTACACATATTGGAGATCCTCTTCTTGAGCCTATGATGTATCGCAAGCTGCTCTGATCCCTCATCTATCTCACTATGACTCACTCGGATATTGCATATGTTATCCATGTTGTGAGCCAATTTGTTTCAGATCCTTGACAACCATATCTATCAACAGTTTATTGAATTTTACGCTATGTTCGAGGTACTTCCATTCGTGGATTATTCTTTGACTCCACATCCTCTTTAGATCTTAGTGCATATGCAGATGCAGATTGGACAGGTGATCCAAACACTTGTTGTTCTACTATAAGATATTGTGTATTTTTTTGGTCGTCATTAGTATCATGGAAGAGCAAGAAATAAGACACTAATTCTAAGTCCAGCACTGAAGCTGAGTATCGTGCTATGTCCTCTGTTGCTAGTGAGATTGTTTGGGTTCGTGTTCTTCTCAATGAGTTTGGTATATCTATTTCAAATCCCACACCTTTATATGTAGATAACCAAAGTGCAATTAGGATTGTATCTAATCCAATTTTTCATGAGCTAGCAAAACATATTAACGTAGATTGTCATTATGTTTGTGATCGTTATCTTGATGGTATATTATATCTCCCTTATGTTTTTTCTACTGCGCAAACGACTGATATTTTCATCAAATCTGTTACTCGGAGCAGCTATGATTTTTTAGTGGACAAGCTAATGCTTTCCCCATGTCCGCATCAGCTTGAAGGGGGATAATAATGTGTATACAAAAACAAGGCGTATAATTTTAAGTTATTTTCATTTGTCCTTTATTGTCATTGTATATTTGTGTGGGGATAATGTTGTCTATATTAAATTTGTATTTATATATAAACCCTTTTAGGGTTTCTTTCGTTGTTAATGAAAATTGATCAAACTAAGATCGTCTTCTCTCTTCTCTTCTCTCTACACCTTGTTGCTTCTCTGTGATTATAAGATAAATACCGTAAAACCTAAGCAATAATATACATCATTTTAAATTACGGTACTTTATATATTGTAAAACCTAAGCCATATTATACGCATTTTAACTACTGTATGGATATACATTAGATACATATCAATATGGATACCTATTTGTAGAGATATATATCGGTAAGATTATTGGTGTTCATATCTCTTGATTATGATATGATTTGGTATTTATCTGATGTATTTATCCGCAAGTAACAATTAGGATAAATACCATCCGTTATAGATATATACCACCAAAATATGCTAGGCATCTATATGTAGAGATATATATTGATAAGGTTATTGGTGTTCATATCTCTTGATATGATAAGATTTGGTATTTATCTAATGTATTTATCCGCGAGTAAGAATTAAGGATAAATTCAATAAGTTATAGATAAATTCCACATAAATATGCTAAACATTATATGGTTTAGGTTTTACGGTATTTAAAATATTATTATTTAGAATGGTGTATAATATAGTTTAGGTTTTACGGTATTTAAATTATTGTAATATTAATTAAAGTTATTAACAGTAATAATACGATTATTGTGAAAATTGTTTTACTTCAAAATTAAAAAAAACAAGAAGTGAACAAAGTTTTCAAAAGTTGGAATTTTTTTTAAATAGATAAAAATTGAGATATATTTGTGCTAATTGTTCTTATTAAAATTTTTAGCTTGGAACAAGTGGTAAAAGGCCGTACAATATCGGGATGTTACATTATGACCTATCAACTTTTATTGACTTGAGGTCAATGACTAACATATTTATATAATATGCATGTAGGATGATATTGTATATATATTCCTTCTATTTAATACAATTTTAATGTAAAATTAATAATTTTTTATTTCCTGGAGGTTAATGGGAAAAATTTATGAGATTCAATATTATTAGAAAATTTTAAAAATTTACTATCATATAAGATTTTTATCTGATGGATCATGTACCCTAGGGAACATGAAATTATAAGAGAGAATTGTCTACCGACAACAATTACACTCAGGTTGTTGAAATAAAGGATTGGGGAACGTACTTCTGACATGTATATATAGGATTATATTGTATGTATACTCCCTCTATTTCTTCTGGCCTCAAAGCATGGTTATTTGACTGCTACACTGAGAGAATAATAGAAAAAAGTGGCACACTTAATTGCCATACTTCTGGCCTCAAAGCTTGGTTATGTGACTGTTACAGTAAGAGAATAAAGAAAAAAAGAGGCGCAATTAATTGCCATGGAAGACAAAAGGACAAATTTCCAATAGAGAGGAATCTTGGCCTGTGATGATCCACCTTCTCTCGCTCTATGAAACCTGATGCTCCTCTTCCCTTGGAGCCTGGTGTTTATTTCCTGGTTGTAGAGAGAGTTGAGCTTCTCACTGTTGTTTTTCTTTTGGTTTTAGAGAGTGAAAGAGGACGAATGCAAAGAGAGAGGGAGAAGAGGAGTTAGAGAGAAGGGATTTGGGAATGGAAGTGCAAAAAACCACTACCCCAATAGTGTCTCTACTTAATTTGCTCTAAAATTTACATAAAGTTTTCTTATACAGAGGTTAATAGCTACTTTTGCTATTCATTATTACGATTTACGAGGAACTATCAAAATTTTACTATTAATAAAGGCGTTTACCTGATGATCAGGTGCCTTATCATGGATACTAAGGAACTTTATTAAAAAGACATTTGTCTAACCGTACTGTGTATCACATGTGTACCCGTACTGTGGGTGAAAAGGTGTTTGCCATATCTTCATCGCTAAGGCGACGGCTCTTTTCTGACTTTATATTGCAGAGATAGAGATAGTGTTTTTCAGTTCTATGTTAAAATTGCTGAGAGAGTCTTAAGCAGCTTACTCTTCTGTCCCATGGACGATAGGCTCAGTTCTCTCTCTGACGATATACTTCATCGCATTCTCTCTCCATTGCCTATTAGAGAAACTGGTAGAACTTCAGTTTTATCTAAGCGATGGAGACATGTTTGGGCGTCTGTTCCAGTTTTCAACACTAAAGGAATCAATCGGCCATCGATAATTGACCAAGCCCTCTTACTCCACAATGGACCCATCCATCAGGCCTCGCTACAAGCCCTCCTACTCCATAATGCACCCTCCTATCGGGCCTCGCTACCTCTTGATAAGTTGGAGCCCGGCAATGTTGATCGATGGATGCTTTCTCTCACTAGAAGAGGCCTACAAGACCTAACGATTGAAATAGAAAAAGAACCTCGGTACAAGATTCACTCCTCCATCTTCTTTTGTGATGCTTTGATGTCTCTCAATTTGAAGCACTGCATACTTAAGCCCCCAGCCGATTTCAAGGGTTTTCCGTCCCTCGAGCGTCTCTCTCTAGAGAAAGTTTCGCTGCTTGATGATACCATACTGGAGTCCCTAGTTTCCAAGAGTAGGCAGTTGAAATACCTAAAATTGAGCGAATGTAGTGGCCTCTCTTCTGTCAAAATCCATGCCCTGAATGTCATTTCTTTCCACTTCAATGGTTTCTTCAATAGCCTGAATTTGGATCAGATCTCCAATCTGAAGAACCTGTTCTTGCGCTGTGCTCATGCTGAAGGCAATGTTGGAGATTGCAGAGCAAGTAAACTTCTAAAGGACCTACACAAACTAGAATCGATTACATTACTTGGCTGGTCTATGTGGGTATGAGCGGTGTTTATTATGTTTTTGTTTTATTTGTTTCACAAAATGTTTGAGAACAATTTGTGCAATGTTTTTAAACTCGACTCCCATGGCGCACTCAGCGTGCCTAGAGCACTTGAGACTCTACTGCAGAACCAATTCACCTCCTCTCTCACTCCAAAAGGTGGTGCCCTGTGACTCTTGTCGCCTCGCCCACTCAGGATAACCAGAGCACTAAACAATCTACTGAAGAGCCAATTCATCTTCTCTCTCACTCAAAAGGGTGGTGCCCTGTTTTTAGAGAGAGAAGGGCTCTTCTACGACGGTGTGATTTAGAAAGAGTGAAAGGGTTTTCGAGGTGTGCACCTCTACTCACCCCGTTGGGGTTTTTATTCCCACCGCTAACACCACTCTACTCATACCTTAAAAAGCTTAACTCCTAATCTCCTTCAAAATGGGTAGGGACCGTCTTCCCACTCAATTAAAAAAAAAAATAAAATAAAAAAAAAAACAAACGAACTTGGGCTGAGTCTTACAACATTGATTTTGTACTTGTGCAGGTTTTATTTAGTGGAGATGTACCTGCCAGCATACTCTCAACCACGCATTGTTCTCTGAGAACTTTAGATATTTGTCTCAATATGAGGGAAAATAATGAGGTCGAAGGCTTCTTTTACTTGCTAAGAAGTTATCCTTCTTTGGAAAAATTGTCTCTTTTGGTGAGCGTTATGTTCTTTTCCTCATAACACACATTGTTGGGTGCTTTTATCATTTATTTTGTTTTCTTTTATCATTTATTTATTGCTCCTGTGCCTTTCTCATTTACTTGTGATTTCTTGTCTTGACACATTTTCCTCTGACGTTGTTTTTCCAGCTTGATGGAAAAACAGAACCCATTAATGAAATCGATGGAACTTGCTTGAGTGAATTGAGAACAAGTAAGTCTGATTGGTTGGGTTGCCTCAAAATAGTGAATGTGAAAGATCTTAGTGACCTGGAGGAAGACATGGAATTGATTCGATTCTTGCTATCAAATGCCATAGTGTTGGACAAACTTACAATTGAGTATGAGAAAGAAGTGAATCAAGTTGAACAGCTGAAGATAGCAAAGAGGTTGGCCGTGTTCCCCAGATCGTCTGCTGGTGCCATGATGTTCATCGAGTAGACTCAACAAAATTTTCATACCCTACAGAGAAGGGAAGCTATAAGATAAGACCTGGAGACTTGCCATTGGCAAGCTTTTTTTTATTTTTTTATTTTCTTTTTTTAAAATTCAGGTTAGGAAGTCAGACTTGCAGAAAGCCATTTGCATTCGAATTTGTTTTTTGTTATGCCTAGACTATCAAACTTTCTCATCATAAAAAACCATGGTCTCTCTATACCTCTCTCTTTCCTCTTCGTTCAACATCTATTTTGCTTGGTTAGCACAGTGCAAGCCTATCTACTTGCACTTCCATTTCTTTGCATAATGATCTTGTTTTAACTATACTCTTATTCTATGTGGTTGTATCTTGTTCACCGAGCTTTATATATGATTTGGTGTGCTGAAACAAACTTCTGAAGGTCTATTTCTTCAGTTGCATCATGTCTGCATTATGTCTTCTATACAGAGCCACTCAATGTAACCCAATCATCAATTTTGGTATCTCAATGGGTAAGGAAAGGGTTCCATTGAGCTTTATAATCAAAGTGGTATATTAAAACCATCTTACAAGTGCTTCTTACTTCAGTTGCTTACTCTCTTCGATGTAGTCACTTCACCAATCTTAGTATTTAAGAATGTAAGATCACTTGTTCAACCACTGGCTTCCAGCAGCTAGCTTCACTTTGATCTTAGACAGAGTATAGATATTTTGAGACTTCCTTTCTCACAAATTCCCCATCTTCTATATATTCAATGGTTCACCCACTTCTTAAACAAGAGACTACAATTTTCTGTCCAATTTGTGGTATATTGGTAACAAACTTGGAGCTCTTTATCCTTCGAAGTTTGGTGGAAGTGGGGGAGCTTTTGGTGGAAGTGGGGGAGCATTTGATGCGAACAGACCTTATTGATTGAGCAATGTTTTCTTTCTTGTGGTGCAATTTCAATAATTTAAGAGAAACCCTTTGTTTGTTGCAGAGCTTCTCATTTTGGGTTTGTTCAAGAGCCTCTCTGGTTTGTAGCAGAGCTTCTCATTTTGGGTTTAATGGCCCTGATTTCACCATTGAAGGCTTGCTATAATTTGGGTTTTCGGAGGAGGGGTAAACAGTTGCAGAGAAGCTACGAGGCAATGGTGGACTGAGCTTCCACTCTGCTTCAATGGAGAAAACTAATCTGATGACTCTGATCCTTGAAAACACATTAAAGACTGATCTGGCCAAAATTGCGGTCACATAATCAAAGCTTCGACCCCAAATAGAGCTCACTTTTAAATATCTTACCTCCTCTCTTTGCCAAATTGAGCCTCTGCTGACCTCTTTTGTCACTCCCTTTTCCAACGACACGATTTCCGGCAAGAAAATGACCAGAATCACCACCGTATTCCGATGGGAACCCAACTTTCCGTTGGTCGTTTCAATAACTGCAACAACTTTCGGCACTGTTTTTTGGCTTGATTTCGATTTCCCAAACTTGAAGCAGAAAAAGCCACCGCTTTTTTCCCTTTTTGGGGGGCCATTTTCCAGCTGGTCCCTGTTCTTTCCGGCCACTTTCTTTCCCCCCAAACTCACCTATTTTTCGCCGTAATTTTTCTTGCTAATGGAAATGAAGTGGGGAAAGAGCGAGGTGGTGCTCATAATATTGGGCAAATACCCTCCCAAAGGGTAATTGACCCCCCAAATAAAGTCCGTTCATAATTTGCTATTTATTTTAAGGGTTCTTAGTATTAAATTCATTGCTTATTAATTTCCTTTGCTTTCATGGTTTCCTAAGGAAGATAACGATGGCATGATCGACAACCGGTCAGAAGTGAGTCATAAGATTCATTCTTCACAAATAGTGTTTTGACGAGCCCTTATTATTTCTACTATTATTTACTATTTTTTCACTTTAAACATATCTTAAGAGACGAGGGAGATCTAGGAAATTTCTACACCCGAGTTCGAGTTAAACAGTTTGGCACCCACTATAGGGCCCATTGAGCTAACTTTGTTCGAAAAATTGACCAAAATCAGCATAATATTACCTGTTGCTTGCCGATTTTGGCTCCTAGAGTTGGTCGAAGTTCCTCCAATGGCGTATCAAAATGTTCTATCATTGTAAAGGCTCATGCAAACGTGCAGGCATAGCCACAGTGTGTGCCAAAGCATTGAATCCACTATAGTTCTAAAATACACTTGAGACTTACTTAGGTGGATGAGCCCAAATGTCAGTTCAATTTAGGGCAAAACACACACCCAAGTTTCGACAAGTTAGTTTCATAGTAAGTGTTTTCAAAATATTGCACTCTCATAGAGTATGACTATGCATGGCTGGTCTACCACAAGATTGCAGTGCCCATCCATACCTAATGGTTGATCAAGCATCAGCCCAACGTGCGGGATGCAACCTACACTATTCATGTCTTACATTTTTTGAATTTGTTGAAAGAGAGAAAATAGCAGTATTCTCATTTCTCATCTTACTGTTCCTTGTGAAGAAAAAATTGTACCTCTAGATATTGGTTAGTTATGAAAAGCGAGATTGCGCTAAGCAAAAAAAAATAAAAAAAAAAGGAAAGAATGCATAAATATAGAAGTTTCCACAAGTAGAAGTTGGTCCCATGAACATATTCTCAAAAATATTGTTCTCCACATGAAATTGAAGATCAGATTTCTTGAGAATTCCCATACTGTTCATTAAAATAAAAAGTGGAGCTAATAGTCAAACTGTGTGATTTATATGCCGAAGTAATTAATGTACATTTTCAAATAATTAACACCTGGACCCAAATTATGTATTCCCCAAGTTCGAGAACGTGTATGAAAACTTTCTATCTCTAATTGATGATGATTTTTGTACCAGAAGAGTGTCCTCAGCTGTTGGGCTTTGTCCAATTCCTTGTCGTGTTCAATATCAAGCATATCTTGCTCTTTCCTGTTTGATAGCAGAAATCCAATCATTTATGTTGAAGAAATCTAAGAAGAAGAGGCAAGAAGAGAAGAAGAAGAAAATACAACAATTTTACGTGGTTTAGTCTCTTGGACTTGCATCTATGGTTGAAGGGCTAATTAGTCGTGCCCATTATTTCATTCACTTAGTATTAAATAGAACTTACAAGATAACAACAAAATTAAAACTGATTCCCAAATATCTTTTGAATATATCACCAATTTATTACCAAGATATTCTTCACATTTAACTACCCAAAAATATAAGATATGGATAACCATATCATCCGTGTACCATATCGAGTATTATTTCAACATGCCCCCTCAAGTTGGTGCGTTGATATCTATCAAGCCCAACTTGCTTAATGTTCTTGAAACTGTACTTTGCTTATGGCATTTGTAACGATATATGCAAGTTGATTTTTGCTTCTGAAAAACGGAGTAGTAGTTTCTTTGGCTTGAACTTTCTCACAAAATGACAATTTGTTTCTATGTACTTAGTCCGTTCAAGAAATATGAGATTTGATACGATACATATAGCTGCTTGATTGTTGCATTTCATAACCATTGGTTGCAAAATATTGAAACCTATATCTCTGAGAAGAAATTTTAGCAAAATTATTTCATAGGTTGTAGTTGCCATTGTTTTGTATTCGGGCTCTACACTAGATCGAGCAACTACTGACTATTTCTTACCCAGTGGTGGATCTTCTATCTGTAGGACTACCTGCCTAATCAGTATCAGAAAAGGCAATAATATTACAATGACCATTTTGTTTCATTAAAATTTATTTTCCAGGAGAAGACTTAAGGTATCTTAAAATTCGATTGATTCCTTCAAGATGAGCAGTTTCTGGAGAATGCATGAATTGACTTACCATATTCACCGCATAAGCAATATCGGCTCTAGTGACAATGAGATATATAAGTCGACCAACCAGACATTGAAACATCCCAATATCTTCCAAAGCTTTGCTAGAGTCGATGCTAGCTTCATAATTTGTCTCAATTGGAGTATCAATAGACTTTCACACTATCTTATCATTTTTGTGTAAAAGGTCTAAAACATATTTCCTTTGGGAAATAAAAATTCCTCTGTGAGAGTAAGCAACCTTAATTCCAAGAAAATATTCGACCAAATGTTTAATATTAAACTTCGTATGAAGGTAATTTTTCAATTTTGTTATGCCGTTTCAATCACGTCCTGATATAACAATGTCATTAATATAAATCAGGACATTAACATTCCCGGTTTGCCTTCTTTTTACAAACATGGATGAATCGACGTTACCCCGAAAAGACCCTATATCAACAAGAGCTTAACGTAACTTTGCAAACCATGCCCTATGAGACTGTTCAAGCCCATAGATTGCTTTCCTGAGCCTGCAAGCGAGAGTTTTGTTGCCTTCTTGAGGATGACCAGGAGGAAGTTTCATGTAAACTTCTTCTTCCATATCTCTATACAAAAAGGCATTTTTTACATCTAGTTGATATAAAAGCCAGTCATTATTCGCATCGACAGAAAGTAAAACTGGTCACATTATTCATTTTGACCAGATGAGCAAATGTTTCTTTGTAGTCAACATCATAAGATTGGGTAAATCCCTTTGCAACAAGTCGTGTTTTGTATCTCTCGATAGTCCCATCATTTTTGTATTTTGTTTTGTAGACCCACTTGCAGCCAACTGGTTTTTTCTATTTAGGAAGAGTAACAACATCCTAAGTATGATTTTTTTGTAAAGCATCAAGTTCCTCTATCATTACAGTCTTCCATCCTACGTTTGAATTAGCTTCCTGAAAGCTAGTAGGTTCTTTAGTTGAGGAAATTTTTTTTAAAAAATCACAATATTTAGGAGATAATTTCTTCAAATCCATTTATTTTTCAATTGGGTAATGAATTTTGTGATTGCCTTCCTTGACATGATAATATTACCTCTCTCTTTCTTCCCTTTCAAACAAATTGAAATGATTGAAGTTTTTCCAATTGGAATCGTGTTAGGTCTAATTCTTATTACTTTGGCTGATTATTTGTAACTGCATATTTACAATACAGACGTGGGGATCAGTTGGATCTTAGATTGAATAAGATTCACTTTTTTTTACCTACTCCATACCCAAGAGTAGGTCCAATTTCATTGATGGTTCCAGTTTCAAGTCAATAGCTTGCCTGAACTAGAATAGCCTTATTGAGAAGGGGACAAAGAGTCTAGCTTGATTGAGAAGGGGAGAAAGAGACTGTGATGGTCATGGACAAGATTCGAACCTGGGAAGAAAATAACACAGGTTGGGGCTCGACCCCTTGCTCTTGGTAGGCAGGGATGTGAAACTAGGGGATAGGGAAGCGAGGGTGGTCTCACTAACCAAAATAAGCTTCTGTTCAGCATAGCCTGCTACGAAATCCTAATAGCCTTTTTCCTAACCTCGTGCTTTCAATCCTACTACCGTATTACTCAAAAGGGGATATGGCGAAATTGGTTGATGCTGCATACTTAATTGAATTGAGCCTTGGTATGGACACCTACTAAGTGGTAGCTCTAAATTCAGAGAGACCTTGGAATGAGAAATGGGCAATCCTGAGCCAAATCCTGTTTAGAGAAAACAAAGGTTCCTAGAAAGTGAGAAGGATAGGTGCAGAGACTCAACGAAAGCTGTTCCAACAAATGAAATTGACCTCGTCGGTAGAGGAATCAAGCCATATATAGGACTCCAAGAGGGATGATCCGATGTTGTCACACCCCAAGAATTTATAGTACTGTTATTCCTGAGATGTGACAGACAAAACTTATATACATCTATTGATAGGACAAATTTACAGTGGCGAGGTCTTACAAAGTAAATAAAGAAAGTTTAAGCAAAACTACAATATCTTCCCAAAGTTGATCTTGACAAGGACACAAATGAAACCGCAGTCATCCTGAAAAATGTTTACCATAGTTTGATGAGTTTGGCTACTCAGTAAGTGATCATCATAATCCTAAAAATAATCATGGTTGAAAGATATCAATATTTTTCCAAAATGAGATCCATTAAC